CTTTTCCTCAATGCTACCATGTTGATCACTCACATTTGGTACATTGCCCTTCTCTTTACCCAAAGCAATACTTAACCTCTACCTATCTAACAGTGTTCCCTCCCCTCCCCTCTCACCCCTGATAACCAACAAAGAAAATTTCCTTCCATAGATAAACTTTTCCTTGACTTTTACAATAACGGACTAATACATTATTTGCCCATCTGTGATTGACTTATTTCACTCGGCATAATGTCCTCCAAGTTCATCCACATTATGCGGTGTTTTGCAGATTCTAGGTTATTCTTTAGGGTTGCATAGTATTCCATTGTGTGTCTGTTTCATAGTTTGATTATCTATTCCTCAGTTGATGGACACCTAGGTTTTTTCCATCTTTTGGCTATTGTAAATAGTGCTGTGATGAACATGGATGTGCGTATGTCTGTTCTTGTCCTGGCCCTCACTTGTTTAGGATATATACCTAGTAATGGAATGGCTGGGTCAAATGGTATTTCTAATTCCAACGTTTTAAGGAATTGCTATACTGCTTTCCACAGTGGTTGTACCATTTAACAGTCCCACCGGCAGTGTATGAGAGTCCCAGTCTCTCTACATCCTCACCAGCATGTTATTTTATGTCTTGTTGAACTTTGCTACTAGTGCTAGCGCAAGATGGTATGTCATTATTGTTTTGATTTGCATCTCCCTGATGGCTAATGATAGTGAGCATTTCTTCATATGTTTGTTGGCCGCCTGAGTATCCTTCTTGGTGAAGTGTCTATTCATATCTTCTGCCCATTTTTAATTGGAATATTTGTCTTTTTGTTTTCGAGGTGTTGGAGTTTTCTATAAATTTTAGAGATCAGTTCCTTGTCAGATATGTCATTGCCAAATATTTTTTCCCAATCTATAGGTTCTCTTTTGAGTCTTTTGGAGAAGTCTTTGGAAGCACATAAGAATTTAATTTTGAGAAGGTCCCATTCATCTAGTTTCTCTTCTGCTGTTTGTGCATTTTGGGTTATGCTTGATAGTCTATTTATGCTTATAGGACGTTCTTAAGGATTTTAGTACAATACTTTCATGGGCTTAAAGCTTGATCTTGGGGACAGTGTGATTTGCCAAAACCCACATGTTACAGGTATGCTATATAAAGGATGCTCTTCTATTCCTATTACCTTTTCTAATAAAGAAAATATAGAACTCATAAGCCAGATATTTGTCTTAAATGTTAGTTTCAAACTCATCCTTCCAGATTTTTAGGGTTATTTCCAGAAGAAACTAATTGTAGGTCACTCTCACTCACTCTCACTCTCCTTTGTGTTCTCTCTCTCTCTCTCTCTCCACACATAGTAAACTTGCCAGAGTATATGAACAAATAGAGAAGGCAGAAAGAAATGTGAATTGTTAAAGTGGACAATTGATCCTATATTTTAAACCATTCACTTTATTGCTTGGTTAAAACATATATAGGGTAAACAGTGGATCTTAAACCTGAATCTCTTGATCCTAGGATGTTCTGTTTTTCATTTCTCAGCAGCCAGTCAACTTTAAAACATGAAGGAAAAATCCAGAAAATTGTCATAACATATTCCTTGGAGAGAATTTCCAAACATGGATAAAAAATAACGAGCCTCTTTCATTGAACTCAGGTACTGTATTTGGTTCTTTAATGTATTATCTCATTCATTTCCAACAACAACTCAGTGAGGAAGGAGTATTTAATCTCCATTTTTTGCAGAGGAAACTGTGGTCTAGACAAGGTAATGGGATCCTATCCCAGGTATCAAAAATAGGATACACATTTAAATAATGAAATTAAAAACAAATATTTTATAACTCACTCAAGTAGTCATATTCTTTATAAAAATATAGACACTCAAAGTTTTAAAATCATCAGTAAGCCTATATGCTTTGATATGTGTGTATGATTACATATACTCACATACAGACATACACACAAAGAGAAAAGTCTGGAAGATACGTAGCAAATTGATAGTATTGGTTAACCTTGGAGAAAGAGGGGAGAAGGTACCAGGAATGGAAGTGTTGGTCAAAAAATTCTTTAGCCTTATCTTGAATAATCTGATTTTTTGCAAGAGAATATTTTCATGTATTAGTTGTACAAATTAAAATTATTAATTAAAAAAACCCTTAAAGAATTAGTACAGAAAGCCACATTTCAGATGAACTTAATCTCCTTTGACCAGCTGTTTACCCTTTTCCTGGTGACCTCCTTTTCACCACATCCAAGGGTGTTTAAAACTTTTCAAAGATAATGTATACATAAGCTGATACAGTTAAAATTGTAAAATTATTGATAATGAAGTATAAGCTAGTATATTATGGGGGTTAAGAACACAGACCCTGGAACCAGATGGCCTGGTTTTGAGTCTTTGCTTCCTCATTGTATTACCTTTCTGGGCCTCAGTTTCCTCATTTATAAATTTGGTGTTATAATAGTACCTACCTTATAGAGTTGTTATAAGTCCTAAATGAGTTATTGTCTATATAGTGCTTCGAATAGCACTATATAGACATACAATAAGATCTATGTAAGGGTTAACTATAATTATCCCAGTATTCAGAAATAACTATGATAAATAACTATGATAAATGATGGATAAATCCATCCAGACTTCTTTCTAGATATATATATTTACACTATATTATCATATATATGTACATATACACAGACATTCATATATATGCTTGTGGGTAAATATAGATGTATTTTGTATTAAAATTATTACATTGTACTTTTTTTGGGGGGAGCTCTGGTGATGTAGTGCCTAAGGCATTTGACTGTTAACTAGAAGGCTGGAGGTTCAAACTCACCAGCCACTCCTTGGAAGGAAGATTGGGCAATCTACTTCCGTAGAGATACTGCCTTGGAAACCCAAGGAGGGGCTGCTGTGAGTCAGATTTGACGTGACTGCAGTGAGTTTGGCTTTTGGTTTGACTGTATTTTTTATTGTACTAAACACCATATCTTACAAATGCCTTTCCATACCTTTGAATGAAATAATGAATATTAAAATAAGAATCAAGTGCATTTATTCTTATTCAGTGATAGCATGGATCCTTTTGACCTAATACGTGAACACAGATTAAGACATTTTTTTGGAGCTATACCAAGAATTTGATGTCTTCATAGACAGATGTTGATTTGGCTTACTTAAATGTTTATGTGTATATATATTTATATATATATAGAGAGAGAGAGAGAGAGAGAGATGTATCCTACCTAAGTGTAGTGCCTAAGGTATTTGACTGTCAGTCAGAAAGCTGATGGTTCAAATCCACCAGCTACTCCTTGAAAGGAAGGGTGGGCAATCTACTTCTGTAGAGATACTGCCTCAGAAATCCAAGGAGGGGTTGCTATGAGTTGGGATTGACTTGACAACAGTGAGTTTTTTTGTATTTTTTAAGTGTATTATTGTTTGTCTGATGTGTTTTAAACAATTATGTTCAGTATTTTACAATGTTTACAGAGCCAATATGCAAGATCAAATACTGTTTTTAGTGTCATTGTGGGCAAGACACTTGGAATACAGTTTTATGTAAAGAAGAAAAATGATCTGTGAAAAGTACATCAGTTATTAATAGATATATTTGTTCCTCCACCTCTTTCTGGCATTTTAGGAGATGTTTCACAAAGTAGAAGAATTCTTACCCAAGGCAACAAACAGTGAGATGGATGAGATGGATACATCAGATACCCAGTGGGGCTGGTTTTACTTGGCGGAATGTGGGAAGTGGCACATGTTCCAGGTATCTCCTCTCCTTGGTTTAGCAGAAGGGATGGAAAGTTGCTTAGCATCATCTTGCTAATGTATAAAATGAATATGGATATACAACCTGGAGAAAAAACAAATCAAATCTTAAGGAAATCAGATAGCCCAAGTAAAAGAAAAATTAGAAATTGTAGTCCTTTTCCTTTTATTTCCCCCAGGTTTTCACAGTAATATATTTAGAAGAAGCAGTATGTGTTTACTGTGTGTACAGAGGGTGAATGTGACAGAGAGTTGCATGGTATCAGTACATCTGAGCAACTCCAAATTTGCTTTGATGGACAAAGAGAAAGGGAAGAGAACAAGCCCATACTAAACACCTTCTGTATGCCAAGTATTATGTTAGGTGCTGCACATAAATTATTTCCTCTGTCCTCACAGCAACTCTGAGGCAGATGTTAATACCCTGTCTTATAGTCAAGGAAAGTGAAACTCCAAAAAGTTAATGTAATTTTCCCAGGTTCACACAGCTCTTTCATGGTTAAGCTGGAATTTGAAGCTATGCTTGTGCTCTTTTTTGCCATACAAGGCTGCTTAAAGATTTAATTTGAGCCACTTAGGAAAATGACTATAAAAATTGTAATAATTTGGAAAGTAACTAAATCCAGTTTAGTTTCTTTACTGAAAATAACGTTTACTGAAACTTTTTAGTTTTTTTACTGAAAATACTTAAGCTCTCTTTAATATGCTGGCTTGGAGGTGATTCTCCTTATGTGTTGCTAATTAGAAGAGATTGATAACTTTCCCTGGTCCCTCCGTTCTCTGTCTCTGTGACCACAGTACCACCTCTGTGGCCAGGCCATTAATTGTGAACAGATGGTAAATGAAACTTTCTGGTTTGTCTTAAAGCCGGATACCAACATTCAGTGTTCAGTTAGCAGTGAAGATATCGAAAAAAGCTTCAAAACAAACCCTTGTGGCTCCATTTCTTTTACTACTTCCAAATTCAGCTACAAGATAGACTTTGCAGGTATGTTTTTTTTCCCTAATAGTTGTGTTTTTAGTGTATTGATATGGTAAAATCTACAGCTCTGAGGATCAGGATTAGTTGATGTATTTGCAAACACTGAAATAAATCCTTTTTATAATGTGCAGAATACCTCTCTACAAGTTCAAAATTTAAAATCTCCTTGAACAACATTGCCTTTTATAAAGGCATATTTGTATGCTTAAGAGACTGAATGATTAAGTGCTCTTGGCTGCTAACCAAAAGGTTGGTAGTTTGAACCTATTGGCCTCTCCATGGGAGAAAGATACATTAAAATATGTGGTGATTTTATCATGTATTTTGAGTTTATGTAATACTTCTCTTCTAAGGAACATGAAACATTTTATAGCTCTTAACTTTATTCATCATTGCATAAGTCTTTTGAGGTAGGTACAGGCCTTTCAGTTTTAAGAATCAAGCTGAGAGGCTAAGGGGTAGTCAAAGTCATATAGGTAGCCGGTAGTAGTTTCAAGACAAAAAGTCAGCTGAATTGACCCTCCCTTGGTACCATTGACAGAGAACGATTTCTTTAAATGGGTATTGCCTCTGCCATTTTCTGATTTATTTTACTCTTTCACATATTACCCAGCTAAACTAGAAATCAGTTCTGCTTTAATTTCACCATGATTAAAATATTGGCAGATTTTTATCTCATGACCAATCTGTTTGATTTAACACTTTCAGTTTCAAGCTGCTTGCTTCAGCTATTTGCTGCTTGCTTCAGCTATTTGCTGCTTAGAGCCAAACAAGACATAAGTAGGAGGTTTACTCAATAAGAGTGCATTTTGATTGCTACACAGCTCAGTGTTCTAGCTGTTCTTTCCTAGCTTCAGTGAGTAGTGCCTTTGTGGCAGAGTTAGTTGCATGGTGTGGTGGTGGTGGTGGTGGGGTGGGGGATGAAACCTTAGGAAATTCCTTTGGATAAGCCAAGGCCCAGAAATGATAACAGGGATTTGTCCAGTAAGAAGAAGTTGATGCAAACAAGTATCTAATGGTTACTGTCCCACCAAAGTTATTTCTCTTGGTAGTTTTATTCTCAAGAGTTAAAATCATCAGATTCTTATTCCTGACTTGCTGTAACTTCTTTTCTTATGGCATTAGGCAAATAAGCTACCTATAGGAGCCCTGATACTTGTCTTTCTCCTACAGTTTGGGCAAAAGATATCTGGTAGACATTTTTCATCTTGTGTACTAGTGCTGTTTCTAGAACAGTATTGAAACAGAATGATAAACACAGATGTCAGGTTTCAGTTAGAGATGAAATATGTCAAAGTGTTGGGTACGTGATTCCGGGTGTTTTTGGAAGAACGTTTTCTAATAAATTGCATTTTTGTGCGCTTTCTCTCAGATAACATGGTTTATTGGAAAGTATCGGGGAAGAAGTGGTGCATGTGATAACTCAAGTCCCTTAACCCTCTATATAATGAGGGTTTTTTACTGTTGTAAGAATGTTGGTGTTAGCCTTTCACATGTACTATTTATTTGCAGAATTATTAGCTCCAATGGTTCTGCTTCTAGTCAGCTTGGGTTTTCTATAAAAATGGTGAAGAGTAAACTCAAAAGGAGGTGGTGTAAGAAGGCAGCACCACAGGTTTTGCTGCATGTGTGGAGATGATCTAGCTTTTTCCTGTACATGGGTAATGCCACTGTGTGCAGAGTCTAGGAGAATACACAAAGGGCAGAACATACTGTTACACCTTCATACTAGCATTTACCCAGGTAGTTGAAACCCTTTGTTTTGGGATGTGATCGTCTCAGTGAAGAAATTTACCTGGTAAATAATCCTTTGGGTAAGACATAGATGAAAAAACAAATTAATACTTTCAGCAAGTTGACTAGTTACTTTTTTATCACTAGTGTCTTTTATGTGAGTATTTATTGGACCTAACTAGGTTTTCTGTATTTTTGGTTTAGATATACAATTTAAAGAAAAGGCAATAATTGTATACAGTTTTGAAATTCTGTGAGTTTTCTGAGTTTTAGAATGAAAATGTGTCTTTTTTTACTATTATTTCTAAAATTTGTGAAGAGAACAGAGTACATTTCCACTTAATAAACCACCCAAAAGATGTAGAACTATGATTTTTTTCCTTTTTTGGTATTCTCTATGTTCCTAATATTACACTTCTTGTATTTGAAGTTTAACCTCTTAAGCGTGATACAGAAATGAATAGACCTACATACTGAGTGAGCAGTTTGTGAAATAAACATCTTTATGTATGAGTTTAGATCAAGCAGTGGAGCTGTGCTCCCTCAAATAGCACTTTTATGACATGATAAATAGATATATAGTAAGGTATCTTTAATATACTGTGCCTGTCAGCTACTCCCAAAGCTCCATGACTCCTGATTATCATGTGGTGTGGCTACAAATCTTCATGACAGTTTATAGCCCAATATGTTTCTATGACTTACCTGATATCTTTGTTTTTCTATACAGAAATGAAGCAAATGAATCTCACCACTGGAAAACAGCGCTTAGTAAAAAGAGCCCCCTTTTCTATCAGTGCTTTCAGGTACTGTAAAGAGATTAGGAGTAGAAAAGATGGGATTTGGAGGGTGTATGGTTTTCTTTTCCTCTCCTTTCTCTTATTATTTGACAGAAAAAGAAATAAGCTGAAAATGTTTGGTAGGTTATATAATAATATTGATCTTTTAAGTATTGATCTTTTAAATATAGAATCTCATTTGTTGATGAAATAGCACTGTTATTATTTTCTGTCAGTGCTTTCCTGTATTTTTGCATTTTCCTCTGCATATTTATAGTTTTCAATTCTTTAGAACAGTGTGCACATATGTTACAAATTGCTTTCCAGTCCCTACCATAAATACTCAAAATAACCTACTAAATCTGAATTGTTGGAAAAACATCTAGTTATTTGGGCTATAAATCCAAGGTAACATCCCACTTTGTCCCCACCACCATTGATCCCCATTGGTCAACTCCCAGAAGTAATTTCAAACCTGAAGTGACTGAAAGAGACCTAAGGAAGACAGCAGCACAAGGTAACAGTAGCATGGCTCCCTACCTCCTAAATCTGCATTGGACGTTTTCCTTTTTGCTATCTCTGGCTATGAAAAACAAAGTTGAAAGGAGAGAATGTATGCAAAGAGAGTTATAAGTTCTAGGAGAGAATAAGTATTTGGTTTCTCCTGTTCTTGGATTTCAAGGGGAAAATTTTAGACCATGTTTTCTCTTTACTGGGATGATTCCTCAAGCAAGGATAGGAATTCATTTTGCTCAAGTAATTTAGGATGAAACAAACAAATGCTAACATGTGAATTGTAGGGAATAATCATATGCTGCTTGTAAGGAAATATAAAAGGATTAGAGTAAAGAAAGAAAGCTTTTAAATTTCTTTAAGTTTGTTTCTTAAGACTTTTGACTTATATTTTAGTATCATGATTTAAAGTTATCTGAATACTTACATAATGAATGGTGGAGCATTTCTGTGGGGTGTGGGGTATATTATTTCCTTACCAGCTACATCATATCTTTGTTCTTCACTACAAGGAATATAATAAAGGAATTACTTATCTTCAAAGAATATGTAATCTCGAAGAAAAAAAATGAGGCGTCGGAATGGGAATGTTATTCTAATTGTATATTATTATATCTGTTCTATATTGGTAGGGGAAGAAGCACGTGATGGGGTCAAGCACTTTGCTCTGTCATGGGCTATACAAACCATAGTACAAAGACAGAAGAGGGATGAAATTAATCAGAATGGAGGATAATAAGCAAAATGCAAAAAGAGAGGAGCAGTTAGGTAGAATACAGTTGAGTGATGAGGACCATTTATTTATTTCAGGAGTATATTGAGCATTTACATGTGTGGCAAATAAGACATGCTTCTTATTGGCAAGTTGTTATTGTTGTTATGTGCTGTCAAGTCAAACCCGACTCATAGCGACCCCTCCTTGGGTTTCCGAGGCAGTATCACTAGGGAAGTAGGATTGCCCAACCTTCCTTCCGAGGAGTGGCTGGTGGGTTTGAACTGCCAGCCGTCTGGTTAGCAGGCAAGTGTCTTAGCCACTATGCTACCAGAGCTCCCTATTGACAAGGAGTTTACTATTAATTAAGGCTCTGGGCTACATTAAAAAAAACCAACTTTTGCATAGCAGAAGGATACTTTAGTACAGTAAAAACAAAACAAGACAGGGAAAAATGTTTTTGCTTATTATTAGAGTCAAAGAACTAATATCCCTAGTATATAAAGCAAATCTGTGAGCAAAAGAGCAACAACCTATCAGAAGAATTGGCAAGGAATTTGAATAGTTCATACAGCCTCATTTTATAATTAATGAAATACAAGTTAATACCTTAATTTTTGTTTTTTTCACTATCAGGTTGACAAAAATTCAAAACTTAATAACATACCTTATTGGTGAGGTTGTTGAAAATAGGCATTCTTTACATTTCTGGTGGGATTGTCAGTAAGTACAACCTCTGTGGAGTCATTTGAGCAGTATCTGTCAAAACTGAGAATAAATATATTCTTGGACACAGAAATTCCATTTCTTAGAGGTTATCCTACAGATAGACTCAGAGGCATGTAGAATGACAAATGGACAAACTCATTCTTTGAAGCATTCTTAATATAACAGCAAAAGGCTCCCCCTGCCCCTCCTCCCCCCAAAAAAAACAAACAAACTCACTGCCGTTGAGTTGGAGCCAACTCATAGAGATCCCTCCTTGGGTTTCTGAGGCGATATCACTATGGAAGTAGATTGCCCCATCGTCCTTCCGAGGAGTGGCTGGTGGGTTTGAATCGCCAGCCTTCTGGTTAGCAGTGAAATGCCTTAGGCACTATGCCACCAGAGCTCTCAAGATAGCTAAATATCATTAGTAGGACTGGTTAAATATATAATAGTGTATCTATATCCATACAATGGAATTCTATGCATCAATGAATAAGAATACATTCATTCTTCCACTGGTAGAGGATGACTTGAGGCACTTACTGATGAAGGTTGAAGAATACAGTTTGTAGTATGGATTACGTCTCAATATAAAGAAAACAAAAATCCTCGCAACTGAACCAATGAGCAGCATCACAATAAATGGAGAGAAGATTGAGGTTGTCAAAGAATTCACGTTGCTTGGTTCTACAATCAATGCCAATGGAAGCAGCAGTCAGGACATTAGACAATGAGTAGCATTGGGAAAGTCAACCCCAAAGGCACTCTTTCAAGTGCTGAGGAGCAAGGATGTCTCCTTGAGGACTAAGGTGTGCCTGACAGAAGCCATGATATTTCCAATTGCCTCGTGTGCATGTGAGAGCTGGACAATGAATAAGGAAGACCGAAGAAGAGTTGATGCTTTTGAGTTGTGGTGCTGGCGAAGAATGCTGAAAGTACTATGGACTGCTAAAAGAACTAACAGATCTGTCCTGGAGGAAGTGCACCCAAAATGCTCCTTGGAAGCGAGAATGGCCAGACTTCGTCTCACCTATTTTGGTCATGTTGTCAGAAGGGACCATTCCTTGGAGAAAGACATCATGCTTGGTAGGGTGGAGGGTCAACGAAAGAAGGGGAGGCCTTCAACGAGATGGATTGACATAGTGGCTGCGATGATGGGCTCAAGTATAGCAGGGATCGTGGAGCTGGCGTGGGATTGGGCAGTGTTTCGTTCTGCTGTGCATGGGGTTGCTATAAGTCGGAAATGACTCGACGGCACCTAACAACAACAACAACATTGTTTCACTAGTATTTATTATTTACCATGTACCAGGCTTTGTTGTAGACACTGGACATCAGAATACTCTTTATGTACTGATGTGGAAGATCACTAAAAATATACTAAGTGAGAAAAGCCAAATACAAAAAAGTATGTTTTTTGCTACCATTCGTGTGAAGAAAAAAAAGGCTTGTATTTACCTAAAGACATTGTAGAACAATACCTAAGAGACTAAAAGCAGTGATTACCTGGGCTTGGAACAGGGGAGTGAGACTAGAATGTAGAGTGGAAGAAAAACTTCTCACTGTACACTTTTTTTATAAATTTAATTTCCAAATTTACTATATGATTGTATTATCTTTTCAGAAATTAAAATAAGTTTGAGAAAAGTAAGCTAAATTAAGAATAAGTAACTTCCAGTAACAGAAGATTAATATGTCAGTTTCAGCTTTTGCCATTAAACCTCCAACATCACTATCTTTATCTATATTCACATCCAGTGGCTTGGACATGATAAAACAAAAACCTGTTGCTGTCAAGTTGATAGTGATACTGCCTCGGAAACCCAAGGAGGGGTCACT